GTATAAGTTTTCTTTTTAGTATTTTTAATGTACTTATAACTCTATTTTTGGCATTTATTTTAAATAAACCCTTTTATTATTACCAATAGTTTTGTTTCATTTGCATAAAAAAAAATAAAAACAGTTACACCGAACAAAATCTTGAAGGGTTCGTCGTGTGAGAGAAATTCTCACGCGCGAGTTCTCGCGTAATTTTTTAAGGCGCGAGTGATGCAGGGTTAAAGCTACCGGTTTCCATCTGCCACTGGTAGAAACGCTCCGCCCGTCTGCGCGAAACACTATGTCACATTCCCAAACTTAAGTTTGTCGGACTCTACGACGGAGAAAATTACGGACAGTCTAGCCCTTATACCAAAATTTTTAAAAATATAATTAATACTCCTCTATCAATTTGTAAAATGACATACGCAAGACAATCGTCGCAGCATATGCAATTTTTTTGCAAAAGAAAATTTAATTACCACGCAGATTTCCCTAGAAAACGCCACAGATGTAACATACTTTACTCTCCTTGATGTCATCTTTTAGCACCTTCAAGGGCATAAGGGATAAAATTGTGGCTGATCTTCTATTGAAATCTGACGGTCTGTAAAATTCATTAAGCGATGCACGGAGATGTAAACATTAAATCGTGTCCTAACCTGTATGAGAAGCCGACAACGTCGGCAGATGAAATAAAGTTTTGGTCATTTTGGTTAGTTTTGAAATATTTTTGAAGAACTGTTACTTGCATTTATGCATAAAATATTCATTAATTTTATATTATAAATCGGATTATTTTTTCACCTACTATGTATTCAGTGATAACAATAATTGATTTACTATACAATAAACACTAAATAGACTCATTTGAAACATCTTTAACAATTATCTGTTATATTTATCGTTGTTTATATGCCCTGCATCGCTTAATGAAATAAACTTTGGTGCCATTTTTTAACAGACTTTAGTTATTAATAATTACCTCGTATTTTAACTTAAGGTATATAAAAATGTTCTCTTTTTACAGAAAGCATACAAAACATTTAAAAAAACAAAATGGCACCAAAAAGTGATATTTAAAACAGTGTAGTGTGACTTATGCTTTTTTTAAATGACGTTTTTAAGTGTACACAAAAATATGTAAAATCTGACATTTTCTAGACATGGTATTAGACAATCATTTATATAGGAATAAATACAAAATAAATTAGCAAATATGGGAGAGAAAGAAGAATATAGAGAAAGAAGAAAGCCTCTAACGAGATGGAACGAATTTTAGAAAATTTTTAAATAACGAATTTTGAATAAAGTGTATAAAATAACTGAATAGAGATAATCGGATTAAGGAAATGAGGCATATTTCTACAATATGGATATACTAGTGTACAATGGATTTAAGTGTTGGAAGTAGCTTCTTAGATTCACAATACTTGTGGTATCATTTATCCAAAATAATTCTCGTGAAACCAACTCACCTCTATTTGTATATGAAGGTTCACAAAAAACATCGAAATTGTAAATCAATATGTTCCTTTTGTGCCATTCCGGGTTCTATACGTCACGCGACCTATAAAGTGGTTAAAAAAGTTTTTGTTTTTAGCATTTTGTTTATTGCAGGAAAAGAAAGGTTTGGTATAATCTGAATATTGAACTTTCAAACTGAGATGAAGTTTGTTTTTCGTGTCGGCTCGAAAATAAACTCAGAGAAAGTTAAGTATCAAATAAATGATTTGAAGATTGTTAAATATAAATAGTTGTTTTATACTTACTACAAATAAAATAAATAGCCCAGTCTGGTTAAAAAAAAGATCGAACATTTTTTCACAGATATCTGAAGCTTTTAAGACATAGGTGGGGGTTACTAGATGATAAATAGATGAAAAAGTACTCGTAATTTTACCTTGCGTTTTTTTTAAACAATAATTTATGGTCACTAGTTGATTTTTTGTCCATGAGTTTTTTCCCTAATATTTTACATCAACAATATTTATATCATTATTATCGAGAATCTTTAAATTAAAATTGATAAACAATTTACGAAGATATTTGCAAAGAACCAGTTTTTTTGCGCTAATTTATAAACTTTATTAATTTTTTTATTAACAAAATAAAATGTTAATCACATTTAAACGTTGAGGAAGTTTAGAAGTTATTTAATATATTTATCCCTGAGGCTAAATATTTAAACTATTGAACTTCCTTTACTAATGATGCTAGACACATTTAGCAAATTTTATAGGATTCTCATAGGAACGTTTAAAAAAGGGGTATATTTTTTTACTTATGAACAATTGTAATAACTTCTATATTTTCCAATCTACAGACTTGTACTTACAACCATTGGATAGTTGGTAAAAAAACTCACATTTAAAAAATAAAAAAACCTTCTATGACCAATAAAAACAAAGGTAGGGACTACTTTGACGAAATTTTGGAGCATGGCAGCTGCTACTCATCCCGCCTTTTTTAGGCGTACTAATATATATTACCGGTTTTCTATTATATATATGACCTTTCTCCTATTCACATAAATACATATAAAATGTAGGGGCACAAGGATGGTATGCTCTGTGATCTTTGGTGATATGTAGATCTAAAAACATAAATAAATGTGCTTACCGTCCTCGTACTCTACATATATCTATACACATATGTAAACATATAGATATAAGTTCAAGAAATACGTAGTTGACAAAATGGCGGAAAGGAGAAACATCACAGTCCTTAGACTTTTACCCTACCACTGCGAAATAAATCCAATTGAACTCATTTGGGCACAAATGAGTTCAATTGGAGTTGCCAAAGTTATGTGGCTAGAAAAAATACGTCATATAAAATACAAGCTGTACGTGAATTTTTATACGAGTCTTTACAACACATTACAGAACAAAACTGGAAATATGCAGTAAGACATGTAATAGAAGAAGAACAAAAAATGTGGGATCTTGATAACATAATTGATGCGACCGTAGAGACACAACCGCTAATTATTAACCCTCAAGATGACTCGGATTCCGAAGTTGATCCTATTTATTTTGAATTTGAATAGTTTTCTAATCGTAATTATATAAGGTAAGTGATAGTAGTTGTAATCGTAAGGTATTAAAGGGGAAAGGCGCAAAACGTCGCCTGTCAAAATGTTCAATGTGTTTTAAATGTATCGATTTTTTTTCCAATCCTGAGAAAACTAAAAAGCCTTTTTGGAAAAGTTTAAAGGCAGAATAAAATATTTATTTGAATAAATAAAAAGTTTCTTTTGCATGCAATATTTTTAATTAAAAATTATACTATATTCTCTCTTTTATTTTCACCCCTGTTGCATAACATAATAAAATAAACATTGTAGAAGTTTTCAGGGACTTTCTGTAATATACATCAGTATACACATATATAATATCCTCAGTAATAATGTAACCTTTCATTCTGCTTTTAAATTTTTCAAAAATATTTATTAGTTTTCTCCGAATTCGAAAATAATGGATACATTTAAAACACATTTGGTGCCTTTCCCCTTAATTAAATAAATGTGTCTTTTACAAATGGCAAAAAACTTTATTTTTGAATAAAATATTTTATTTTATTATAAGTTTTATTAAAACCAAAATACAATTTAAAAAATATATTTATTTAGTTCAAATAAATGTTTCAATCATATAGTCTACGACACTGGTCGGCCAAAATACCTTCCTAATCGGATTATAAGCTTGACCGCTGTATTGTATTCCGGCAGATACAAGGTGGGTTAGTCGAAAACATCTTAAATCGTCAGTTTCAGGTTGGTTTTTACTATTATATCGTATTACCTATCCTCTCTGTATTTCAGTTCTCTAATTAGGATTAAACTTGTAGTGAGCTATCAACAAATTGTGAACCGAGTATAGGTGTTTACGAATTAAGCAAACAGTTTCTAGAATATTTAGAGAGGGAACAGTTAAAATCCCGTGATTTTTGAAGTAGATTTTGAAATGTGTTATTGTACTGAGGCCAAAAAGATACCGTATTGCTCTTTTTTGTAATTTAATAATAACATCACATTAAGCAGTTGTACTAGAACCCCAAAAAGGAAGGCTATATCGAAGATGAGACTCGAACAAAGAAAAGTATGATATTTTGAAAGATGCTAAATTCATTTTCTTTGAAACAGGTCTTATTGCATAGCAGGCTGAGGCTAGTTTCTTACTTAACAAATCGTAAATTGTAAATTGTGAACAAATTTCCAAATCATTAGAAAATGAAATTACTCATCAAGATCAGACTAGACCAAAAAGGCCAGATGTTAGACGTAGATGCTACTTGGGTCCCAGAGGTAGGAATAACAAACAAGTTTTTCAAATATTTTTGTCGCAATATTCTAACATTACAAAAGAACATGACTGTTATTTTGTTAATGGTTACTCTATTATGTTTTTTTTGTATTAGGTTAAAGCAAATTATTATAAACCAATTTTCAGAAAATGAACCATTAATTTCAATTTGATTTTTTGTTATAATAATAAGTTAATTTTTTTAATCAAAATATGTTTTAAATGTTCTATCATTTTTATTATAGCATCTTCATTTTCTTGAAATAAAAGTTTACAAAAAATTTCTTTTTTATATACACATGAATTTATCAAAAATACAGAAAAAATAATAAATATATTTTTTTAGAGGTTTTAAAAATTCAGGATATTTACGACCCCATGTAGTTATGTGGGTGTAAATACCAGATAGTAGTGCAGTATCAAATATAGGGTGTCCCATTTAAAAAGTCGATGATGTAATAACTTCGAAAAATATAAAAGAAAAAATTAGATTTGCAACAAACAATTTCTTTAAAAAAATCGACCTGTTTTTGTATTTTTTGTTAAACTCTATCAGGAACAAAATTATGAATTTTACGCTCTACATTTTGAACATGCTGTTTAAGTAATATTTACTAGCCATAAATTAAAAAAATCAGATAAAATAAACGTATAAATTTATGTAAAATCAAATCCGTTTATTTCAAATAAAATATTCTACAACAGTGGCATATTTTAGATCTTTTCCAATAAAACACTGGTAATCACTGCACTAGTATAACAGGAAATTTCTCCGGTCTTAGGACACATCTTTGTTTTGTTTAGTTTGTTATTTTTCATTCGGTGAACATATTCTTGTTTATATTCTTCATATTCTTCGTTGGAAACCATACTTAGAATGGGATTGATACTAATACAAAAATCTACAACAAATATACAGAAACGAAAATCAATTATTTATGTCAATGGTGTGAAACTGATTAAAACAGTTACACTTTTAAGAGAAAGACGTATTCTTAAGAAAAATAAATAACCCATATAAACCTACAACAATGTATTAAGACATGGTTTTCATCTTCACAAATAATGTATACAAATAAGTATGAACTGTAAAACTGTATGAACTGTAAAATCATAAAAGAACGATAGCATAGAATAAGCTATGTTTTTCCTTGCTAAAGAATTTTCGTCAATGGTATGGACTTTGACACTCTAAAACAGTTACTAGAACAACTGCTTGTAATGACGGAATTTCATACAATATTGTCCGGTACCTCCTTGCCTTGTCGGTGATTGGAATGAGGCTGTGTATTCTTCGGCAGTAATTTGCGGGTGATGAGTGAGTACGGATAAAAAAATGGCTGTTATAGAGTAAATATATCCATTAATGAAAAAAGTTTTATATCACAACGTTTAGTAGCTGGGGAGTCAAATGTAACGATAGCGAAGGATATCGGTGTAAATTATTCGACAATATCCATAAAAAAACACTGGATAGAACCTTTGTTTATTGCGAATGTTTTAAAACCCTAACGTGTAAGGGTATAGTCTCAAGTACAAGTTGACTGTGCGCTTTGATTCAAAAAAGACACAATTTTTACCAAAGTGCTAAATATTCTTAAGTCGGGCAAGTTGGAATAACCGTGTAAAGAGCAGATACAATCTTGTCGCCGGAAAAATAGTCTTTGTTAGTTGAATAGAGCGATATGACCGAATGGCAAACCAAAGTTTGACCTGAGTTGCGGGAAAAATTTAGTGACGACGAAATATTTAACGCAGACGAAACTGTGTTATTCTATAAATTAACGCTAGATAAAATATTAAATTTTATAGGCGAAAAAATTCTCGGAAGGAAAATTTTCGAAAAATATGCTTGTAGACTATAAGAGCAATCGGAAGGCCTGGATAATATCTTATATGTTTATCAAATGGATACGTCATTGGGGTCGTAAGCTGACCGTTTCTCAGACTCTCAGTTTCCTGCCTCCTAATAGAATATCTGTATTGCAACCACAGAATCAAGGAATAATTCGAGTGTTAAAACAAACTTACGTTAAAACTTGTTTTAAAAATTGTATCTGACATGAACACCTGTACCAAGTGTCAGAAAAATGAAGACACCAGTGACAAGCAGCTAAAGATCACAATTCTGGAAGCCTTTCTAATGATTTTACAACGCTTGGGACAAGCCTACTTGCTTGTTTGTGTTAGTCTAAGCCAGAGCTCTAAATAAAAGACTACATAATATAAGAAATGAATAATTTGAACAATATTCTGATGTTGATGAGGATCTCAAAACGTGTGACAATGGCGACAATGTTATAAAAAACGTATGCAGTGAATTACTAAAATAAGAAGGGGATTTTATAGAATAGTAAAGAAATTCGAATGACATTTAAAAAAAAATTATATATAGTTTTAAAAATAAGTTTAGAAAATAGTAAGCTCAATCAATTATTAAACAAAAAAACTATAATATATATTAAGTTCATGTATAGGAAGCTCATATAGAGCTTAAGAATCAAGCGGAATGAATTCTTCAAATGTTTAGAAATTAAAGTTGGACCTAACTATGAGAGGACAATATTTCTAAATTAACCTAGACGCAATACTATACTTGAAGCTCCATTAAAAAAATCTTACATTGGTCTATTTATACGAAAATGTATTTGTTCCATTTGAATGAAAAATATACTTAATCCATTATATGTCTTTTTGTAACTATCAATATACAATCCATGGCATATTTTCCATTTATTGCGAGTTTCAAAACTCCAGTAGGAAGGTTATTCCAGTTCCAATAGCGTATGCTAAAAATATTGCGGTTAAAACGCTCTTACTCGAACGTGTGTCCCACGCCGCCGGTTCATCGTACGCGGTGTCAACAGGCGTGTCGTGGGCATCGAGCAAAAAGACAATAGAGGGAATGTAAAGGTAGTGGGGGCAAACATATTGTTAGACAGGAAGTGCGATCTTTAGAGGCCACATTAAACAAGGAAAGAGAGTCTCTCTCCTTGTTTGACATCAAATTTAGTTGGGTTATGTTATTGTTTGTCCCAAATGTCACATGAAATCTTATTTATATTGAAGTTTTTTAACAATTTTGTCGCATTCTAGACTATTGTCGTTAATTATTAATTAAAACTTTCTCGTCTGAGACACATTCTGAAAAATATTATATAGCTACTGTTGATAAGTGTCGGAAAATTTAAATTTGGCGCATTCGCATTTCCGGATATGTCCGCCATCAGAGGCCACTTTTTTGGTCTCCTTTTCATAAGGATTAGATTCCCTCTTTTGTCTTTTTGCTCGATGGTCGTGGGACATCCTGCTGAAATTACAACGTGGAAATCAAAACATCAAAAAACAAACTTATTTTAAAGTAAAATTGTGGCTTATTCCCAAAAAATAGTAAATTATTTTATAGATTTAAATTAAAATAAAAATTCACACATAATATTGATTTTTTTTTATATGTGTCAGGATTTAAGAAAAACTTGAGTAAAAAATTTAGGAGGGGGATGTGGCGCCTTTAATTAGAGTTTAAGTTGGCGCTTTTTTATGAGCCAGTCCGGTCCTGGTTCTTAACTATACTCCTATCATTTCATTGCTAGATAAGCTCTGCATTATAAATATTTAGGAAATGAATACTAAGAGAATTATAGTCATGGTAAAGAACAATAAAAAATTAAAAGAAACTAATTTAACAAACGGTAAAGGAAAACCCTGGTAAACAAAATCGGACGGGATTCAGCAGGTAATGCGCGAGATTAGCAGCAAGATACTCTTCGCTCTAATGGGGGCTATATAAATATACTACATTAAAATAATTACTCCACATTGATGAACAACGACCAAAATAGTCTTGTATATAAAGTCTAAATATAAGGAAAAAAACTTAAGTACACTAAAACGTAAGTATAAAAATAAATTTTTTACCATAAAACATATTTTCATCCGTCAACTTCGAAGCCAATTGCTCAACTGTACTGCTGATTTCTCTAAATCCAACTTCTTTAAATAGCTTGTTGTACTCTTCCATTACATTTTTTCTTCTAAAGAAAGGTGAAATTAACTTCGTGTGATCATATTTTTTCCATTTTGAATGCAAGGATAACTCGTAATATACTTCGTCGGCAGATGTTTCGTCTGCGTAGGTTAGAAGCATTTGCCCTTCAGGTTTTAGCATCTTGTACATATTTTTCAAAGCTTGTCTAAAAGAAAATAAAAAACAAGAAATGATTATTTAACATTAAGAAAAAAAAAAGATCGTTGGCAGTTCTTCTTCCCAAATTAACCAATTATTACACCCACAAATTAAAAGCCGTAGCAAAAGGTGATACTTTAGATTAATTTTAATAAATATTAGGTAAACAGTATAATAAATTTAGGTAGATTTTCTTTACAGCAAAGATTAAATTAATATTAAATTACAATAATGGAATATAGAAAACTATTTAAACCAATTTCAAGTAAATAATAAGTAGATCAATATGGCATTTTCAAGAACAGTACGCAAACTAGACTTTCTTATTATCCATAGCCTTGAAAATATCTGTGCTTGGCTTACTGGTAATTCATTATCAGTTGGCGCTACAGCCCTTCGTGAGCCTTGGCCTGCTTCAAAACATTCTTCCATCCTTCCCTATCGAGTGTCTGCCTTCTCCAGCCCCTCACTCCAATCTCCCTCAGATCTTCCTGTACATCGTCCAGATATCTGAGTTTAGGTCGCCCCCTTCTTCTTTTTCCGACCGGCCTGTTTAGCATAGGTATTTTAGTGGGATCACTCTCATCGATCCGCATAACGTGGCTCACCCACCTTAGGCGGTTTATTTTGATGGTCTTCACAATATCTGCATCACCAAAAAGGCTATAGAGTTGAAAGTTATATCGCCTTCTCCACAGACCCTGTTCGTTTACTCCGCCATATATGGTCCTCAATACTTTTCTTTCAAAGACTCGTAGTAACTCTTCATCTCGGGTCGTCATTGCCCATGTTTCCGATCCGTATGTGAACACTGGGTGTATTATTGTTTTATAAAGTATGCACTTTGTTGCTATTGACATACTTCTCGCTCTTAGTTGAGGGCTCAGGCCAAAATAACAGCGGTTAGCCATGCATATTCTTTTTTTATCACTTTGGATGTGTTATTATTGTAGTCTACCAGTGATCCTAAGTAGCAGAATTCTTCTACCTTTTCTATCGTTTCGTGTTGCATTTCAAAGTTATTTTGTTGAATTCCTGATATGGCCGGCATATATTTTGTTTTCTGGATATTAATCAGAAGTCCGATGTTTTCTGCGGCATTTTTGACACGTGTGAAACACTGCCTCCACTGCTTCATTTTGGGTTCTTCCAGTTATGACGATATCATCAGCGCATGCCATTATTTGTATACTACAAGCATATATCGTACCTTTTAAGTTTATTTCCGTATCTCCCATAACTTTTTCTAACGCTAGGTTGAATAGCGTGCACGATAGCGCATCTCCCCGGCGCAAACCTGTGTTGGTTTTAAATGGTTTTGAAACATCCCCTTGTACGCGAACTTCACATTTGACTTTCATCATTGTCATTTTAATTAATTCTACCAAACCTTTTGGTATTCCTAATTCGATCATCGCCGAATATAATTGGGACCTGTCAATACTACCGTACGCTGCCTTAAAGTCTACGAAGATGTAATGGCAGTCTATGTCGTACTCTGTCGTTTTTTCTAATATTTGTCTGATGGATGATCAATGGTAGATTTGTTTTTCAAGAAGCCTCTTTGGTAGGATCCTATTATATTGTCAGTATACCGTGCCAGTCGTTCGATAAGTATCAGGGACACAATTTTTTATGCTGTATTAAGAAGGGAAATCCCTCTAAAGTTGGAACATTCAAGAACGTTTCCTTTTTTTGTCTACGGGGCATATAATTCCAGTATTTCAATCTTCTGGTAACGTGCGTTCTTGCCATACCTGTATTAGTAGTTTGTGAAGGAGGGTTACAAATGTTTGACCGCCAGATTTAAATAATTCTGCGGGTAGGTTGTCTGCTCCGGGTAACTTGTTTCTGGCTAGAGACTGAATTTCTTTGTTTATTTCTTCCAAAGTTGGTAGTTCAATATCCTTCTGTTCTATTTCTATATCATATCTACCTTCAGCTCTACTTTCTTTATTAAGTAGCGTACTAAAATGTTCCTGCCATCTTTCTAGTACTTTCACTCTCTCGTTTAAAAAAAATTCGGTAAGGGCCTTGACTTGGTTCGTTTGTGGCTTGAAAACTGTTCTTTTTGTGTTAACCTGTTTGTAAAATTTTCTGTATCCGTGTTCTCTGTTAAGATTTTCCATTTCTTCGAACTCTGTATTGATTTGTTGCCGCCTTTTCTGTTTGTGTTTTTGTTTTTCCTCTCGTCTCTTTACTAGAGATTCTTCAACATTGCTCCTAGTCCTTCTGTTGATTATTTTCAGATACGCGTCGTCCTTCTCTTTCGCTACTCGTTGGCATTCCTCATCAAACCAGTTGTTTCGCTATCCTTTGGGTACTTCACGCAGCACTTCCTCTGCGGTCTCTTTGAGCGTGGTTTTCATAAACTACCAATTTGTGTTAAGTTCAGTGGGATATACCTCACTTCTGGGATGTTCCGATATTTTACGATCTAAGCATATTTGGAAGTTTCTTACGACTTCAGTACACTTTAATTTATCAACATTATATTTGATTATTTTTGGTTTAGTTTTATCGTTCCTGGCGTTTGATATACGTGCCCTGAGACGTCCAGCTATGAGATAGTGATCGGAGTCAATATTTGCACCTCTACAATTTCTGCAGTCTAGTATATCTGATCCATGTCTTAAATCAATCAGTACGTGGTTTATCTGATTTTGGGTCGGATGATCTGGCGATGTCCACGTCACTTTATGTAAACGTTTATGTTGAAAGTATGTACTATTGATCGTCATGTTCAGAGATGCTGCGAGATTTATAAGTCTCGTCCCATTATCATTACATTCTTTGTGTATGCTGTAAGGTCCTATGGTTGGTCTGTACATCTCCTCTTGTCCTACCTTGGCATTCATGTCTCCGATAATCAACTTAGCGTCATTATTGGGACACTGTCTATATGTTTGTTCTAATTTCTCATTAAAGTTAAAAATTATTTAAGTCAAAACTGAGGAAAACATTTACTCTACTGGATTGCCGAAACTATAATAGTCCGGTCAACGTTGTACAAACATATACAACTATACGTTTTGGTTTAGTTGACCGTATTCAAAAGTAATATTTAAAATTGTATTAAATATTATAACTTTTGTTTATACAAAATAAAAATTTAAATTTTTTTAAAATCTTCATTATTTTATTAAAATGGCTACATTATATTCGATCATCTAAATTATTTCAACATAAATTACAGTATTATGCGAATTACCTACTCGAATCATTGTAAAATTCTTTAATATTCACAGTTGGCAACACTATCCACACATTTACAACTGACCAAGTATTAAAAACATGGCCTTACTTTTCTCTGACTCTTATTTAAGGGTGATTTAGGACATTTCCCACTAAGTTTATGTTGTTTTGTACTATTTTGTGTTGTTTTCAGTAATTAGTGAATTTGTTACGTTTAATTCCATCATGAATATCAGGCGTAAAAAGCGTAAAAAGATTACCTCGTTAAGTGAATGCACTTCTGTGACACAGAGACAAATAGCAAGAACATGTGTAGTGAGTCAGAGGGTAACAAGCAATATTTTTAAGCGTAAACGAGAAATGGTATGTGAAAAGGTTAGGAAAATACAGAAGAACGAGAGAAACAACACCAGCAGATAAAAGATTTTTACTTCGGAAGAGCAAATTTGACCCAAGAGAAACAAGTCAAGAACTCCAACAAGATCTAGTAGCATCAGGTCTAGTGATTTATGACTTACTGTTCGGAAAAAACTTTTGGAGAATGGTAGAAGGGTCCAAAAATAAGTCTACAGAAAAAACAGCTTTTAAATGAACAAATAAAGCACCAAAGGCTATTGTGGGCCAAAAAATACTATAATTGGACTGTACATAATAGAAGAGAAGCCCTATTTATAGATGAAACTCACTTTATAGTTCAGGGACAGTGGTCGACATTCGTCAGAAATTCTGACAATGAAAACCCTTTTGGGCATGTTTTACATACATGGGGGTTGGATCTTTGGTACCAATGAAAGTTATGATAAACAGCTAAAAATACAAATCATATTTGGAACAGCGTTTGAACACAGAATTTTAAAAATATTAGTCTCAAGGAGAAGCGATTCTTCAACAGGATTGTGCTCCCTGTTACAAGTCAAAGCAAATAATAGAATTTTTCAAAAATAAGACGATTATTGTTTTAGATCGACCTGGTAATTCGCCAGGCCTTAACCGCATTAAAAATTTATGGGCCATTTGCTAAGCTAGACTGTGCATAATCGACTGTACTACCAAAATAAAAATGATAGAAGTGGTCATTTAGGTTTGGACTCGAGATGAAAGGATATCTGGGAACTGTTAGAAGCTCGTAGAATATATGCCAAAACGGGTAAAAGCAGTAATTGCAGCTAAAGTGAGACATATTTCCTACTAAAGGATGCAAGTTTACCTTAAATATAGTTTTGTCAAAATATAAATTTTTTCCAAATAACCTGTTTTTTCATTAAAACAGCCTATGATCCCATAAATTCGCACAGTACTGTATATATCTTACCGCGTATCTTTGATCCAGTGCATAACAGCAAATCCAAAAATATGATCAAACCGATTAACAAATTCTTCAGGGATGGTATCAGCTGACATGTCTAAGATAACAAATGTTGCTCTCGGATCAGTAATATTTCTTTTCAGATACTCAACCATTCGACGGCTAATATCAGAACCAATAAACTCTTTGTAATTATTAGGCAATATGGGAAACAGTACACTTTTTGAGTTACTACCATCGCCCATTCCAAATTCAAAAATGGATTCGTTATTTTTCCATTTTATGGAGTTTTTGATTTCAGTCAAGCTTTTTAAATGAACGGTAGATAGAAATGTTGAAGATTTTCCCCATAGTTCTGGTTCAATCATATTGATTGTTTTTTCCGGGATTTTGTATTAAAAACGGCGAGCCTAGAATTTTAATAGACGAAACCTAAAAAAACAGAATTAAATACATGTAAAATACATAATTAGACGAGTCAAGTTAGTAGAAAATAAGCGTTTTTTCGTCACAAGTGTATAGACGGGTTTGACAGTTGAAATGGATAGTATGAGATATTACAAAAAGACTCTCATCTAGGGATTCATGAATTTTTTAGTGGAACTATTTTTAAATAAACAATTAAGACGTCAATATCATTATTTTGCTCATAACTTATAAACTTGTCTATTTAGACATTTGACGTCCACAGACGAGTTGTTGAGAAAGAAAAAATACACAAAATGAGATATACTAAATTAAAATCGGTTAATAAACAAAAAAAATATTGCATAATAACCAAGCAAAACGGTTGTTTTTGATTATTGTTAATAACTCTTTTAGTAATCAATAAAATTTATTTAAATGTATCTGAACTCAAAGACCTCATCGTATTCGAAGTGTGTGCGAAAGATAGGCTAGATCCGTCAAATAGTTTTTGCACAATTTAATTTGTTTATAAGATTTTTTGAAAAATGCACAAATTTCTAAGGCCGGTCCAGATAATTTGACTAAATGGATCTTAGTAATCCGGGGCTTCTTTTCTTCGATGAGACATATATTAATATCCTGTGGAAAAAAAAGTTAAAAAAAATTACGTTTGTGTACACAAAATAATTTATTAATAAATAGCACTTTTTAAGTTTATAAACATTTACAATAACTCCGTACTATTTAGTTTAAATTAAATGGCAATAAAACATTCGGAAGGCGGGTTAAAAAACTTTAAAAAAAAAGGTCCTGCGACCATTAGGAGCCGAGTTAGTTCTTTTTTTTTAAATCACTGTTACGTCAATTAACAAAATTAAGGGCTGAAATTAACCAATCTTTTAGAAGAAAAGTCAAAGTTATTCACAAAATGTTTAGCAAAAAAAAAAAATAATTTTTTTTTTGCTAATTTTTTGCTGTTTGTTTAGCAACAAACCGGTTGTATAGTCGCAGGAAAATGAGTTGTTAACTTAAACGGCCTAACAGCATCTGCTTTCGACGTGCGCTCGACTTTTTTTAGAGCGCGGCTTGAGTGCAATCGGCAATCCCCACTCCTTCCATTTGAGTCGGAACGCAAAGTACTCTTGGTTTACAACACTCCTGTTTAATCAATTTTCAATTATTTTGTTTGCTAAATATTTTGTTAAAAACTTTGACTTTTCTTCTAAAAGATTGGTTAATTTTAGCCCTTAATGTTGTTAATTGACGTAACAGTGATTTTAAAAAAAAAAAGGACTAACTTGGCTCCTAATGGTCGCAGGACCTTTTTCTTTTTTTTTAAAGTTGTGTTTTTTAACCAGCCTTCCGAATATTTTATTGCCATTTAATTTAAACTAAATAGTACGGAGTTATTGTAAATGTTTATAAGCTTAAAAAGTGCTATTTATTGTTAAATCATTTTGTGTACATAAACGTAATTTTTTTTAACTTTTTTTTCCATATGATATTAATATATATCTCAACAAAGAAAATAAGCCCCGGATTATTAAGATCCATTCAGTCAAATTATCTGGACCGGCCTTAGAAATTTGTGCATTTTTCAAAAAATCTTATAAACAAATTAAATTGTGCAAAAACTATTCGACCGATCTAGCCTATCTTTCGCACACACTTCGAACACGATAAGGTCTTTAAGTTCAGATACATTTAAATAAATTTTATTGATTAATAAAAGAGTAATTAACAATAATCAAAAACAGTGGTTTTGCTTGGTTATTATGCAATAACTTTTTTATTTATTAACCGATTTTAATTTAGTATATCACATTTTGTGCATTTTTTTTTTCTCAACAACTTGTCTGTGGACGTCAAATCTCTAAATAGACAAGTTTATAAGTTATGGGCAAAATAATGATATTGACGTTTTAATTGTTTATTTAAAAATATTTCCACTAAAAAATTCACGAATCCCTAGATGAGAGTCTTTTTGTAATATCTCATACTACTTATTTCAACCGTCAAACCCGTCTATACACTCGTGATGAGTAAAAACCTAACTTGATTGGCCTAAATATGTATATACCATTTTTCAAAGTAAAAACGTTGAACGTCACAATTTATATAAAGTGACGACACATATTTAAAATTTCCAGAACGTCAACCTTGGAGTTCAAATTTTCATAACACAGAAAACTGCTCGATCTTTAAGGCGTCAACATAATATAATATTCGGAAAAATGTAATCATCATTATATTGGGAATTTTAGAATTATATTGATTATATAATTCTAAAAAAAATATAGCACAAAATAATAATTTTAATTAAATATATTAGACAATTGTATGCAACTGATACGGGAATACTTCAGATTTTATTGACAGGTCAGCGTGTGGCAAAATTGTTTAAAGTGTTGCCGCTTTTTTAGAGTAAGAGTTTTGTTTATGTTTTAATTTCTTACACAATTATATATATATATATATTATATATATATATATATATATATATTATATATTATATATATATATATATATATATATATATATATATATATATTAATAAATTGTATTTATAAATACATATTAAATTTAGATTAATAGCTTTAAAAAATAATTATTGTTTTGTATTGTTATATTGTTATAACTAAATAGTCTGTAATTTGAACAAAAAATAATGGCGGGACGTTTTTACTATTAATGTTCTAAAAGAGGTTTAAAATTTAGAATATATAATTTTGTATTAAAATGTTTTCTTTTGTATTTTAGTGTGTTGCAGTAGTTTTTAACTTAAGTGTGTTTACTGTTAATATAACAGTTTAACAAATAGTTGACATTTTAAAAAGTCCTCACTTACTAACTATTTTGATGTTTTGGCAACGCTGTGAATGACGTGCAATTATTTTTATATGAAAAATTCTATACATACATGTTCATATAGATATATGTTTTTGATGATTAAATAACGTAAATACAAGTTCTGTAATCAAAATTTTTATATTGTAGATTAGTTAGTTAGATTAGGTAATAGAAAATATATTAGAAGTGGGCATATAGAACGTAAGAGGGAACTTCGAGGAAGAAGTATTACAATCAAATGAGTCATAGCCGCTGTCAAAATTATAAAAAATTGCTTATTATTATTATTATTGATTTGTAAATAAAAACGCAATATAATGAAATTGAATAAAATAAATCAGTCAACATAACCTCATAATGTAACGTATTTTTGATTAGCGTTCAAACAACCGACCTTAAGACATTTAGATAAATTACGTGATAAATGTAGAATAAAAATAATGGACTTACAAGAAACAAAGCAGCTGGGAAGTGAAATAGCGATAACCAGAAAAAAGTATCTTTTGTAAAAGTGGTGGGCCGAAAAGACACTTAGGAATGGCTTTTATTTTCTATGGTGGTAGTATGAACGCTTGGCCGTCACAAGCAAAAGTAACAAAAAATCAGAGATCTGTAAGTTATAGATATAATACAATTAAAATATAGCCCCAATGGAGAGATCTACTACACCACTGATTACTCAGATAACTGGTAGCTACTACTATAATATTATAGAAGGGAAAGCCAAGACCTGTAGGTTTATAAAAATTTGCTCTTTAAGACACCTCCTGAAATATCAGAAGACAAGTTTAAACACCCGCAAGGACTCAAATTAGTTATTGAAAAAGATAATCATCACTTTTACGATACTCTTCCTAGAATCAACATAAAATAATACTTTCGCGGGAGTTTGTAAAAATATCATACATTGATACTAGAAATCGAAGTTTCTTTATTTAAAATAAATTCAATATTATTTTTATTAGTTAGTTTAGTGTTTTGTACTAATTTAAGGAATCAACAATCAAATACTAATTTAATACAATGTAAAAAAACGTTATTTAACTGTTTTTTGTGTCTCCGGTAAAATTATGATATTTTGACATTGGAGATATTTTATTCCTAACAGAGATATTAACTAGTCATCTATTGCATTTAATGTTTTCAGAAATAGCTGGGTCAGTGTAACCAATGTTGGGGCCACATATTACAATAAAAAGTATGCTCGGTTAAAAGTGACAATATTCACAAGACTTAAGAAAATGGAAGGCAACTATAAATGCTATATCTCAATCGATCGAGATGCACTACGTGTATGATATAGACTTATGACTACATATTATGATTATAGCAATTTTTTGATTCGGTAAATACACTTCTAGTGGGAACAAAAATCATTAATATACCAGTAAAAATCAGATTTTCCAAAATTTAACAAACGTCAACAGAAATTATAGGACATAACTAAACAAATAACCCTAGGAAAAAATTGATAAACAATCCACATTCTAAAAAAGTTTTAAGTACTTATTAGTCAACAGCTAGGTTCTTTGTTTATATTAATAAAACTATAACGCAAAACTCACCAATACTTTTGAATCCAGTCACTACCACAGTCACAATTTGCTATGTATAAGTTGCTTAATGTTTACTACAAATCTATTTTTTTAGTTTTACGTCAAAAATGGTTTTGTAATTACTATAAGCTATTAAACATACTCGAAATACGAACAGTTGATATTGTTTGTGTACTAGATTTTAGTAAAAGTTTAAGATATTTACTAGTAAGTGCTTCTACGAACAATGTTTTTCAAAGTTTAATTCCTCTCAAAGACCGGACATACCTGAGTGGGAATTCTGCGCAATAGAGTATATAATCATAAAACTCTTTCAGGTTATAATTTAGATAATAGTTTCAAGTTTCGTGATTTAAATAAAGCGCGATCTACATATCTGTTTTACGAGCAAGGAGAAATTAATACTATACAATTATATACACTACACTGTCTTGTTTCTCTCCTAATATTATACCGATCCTATCAATTTAGAAATTTCTTTAAATTTGTGGAATGCTTTATTAACGATTTTGTATACTAACGATGTTATTATTAAGATATATTAATTATCAGGT